CACTTTATAGATTTAAATTTTCAATTCGAGTTGAGATGTAATATTTTTTGAGAGTTTTTAACTGTAGCAGAAAAAGTTAGATATGACATTTTCTGAGAGCTTATTAAAGTATAAAACTATTGTTGGCCTACCTCCTAATAGCTTAAGCTTTTGGGATGGATTGGTAAACTAACATGGTATCAGAGCGGGAAATCCTAAGTTTAAATCCTCGTAATTGCACTCTTTATTCTCATTTAAAATTGTCATCATGTGTTGGGTCTTTAATATATCTTAGACTTAAATATTCACGTGTTGGGCTTTTCAATTAATTTACCCACACGATTGCCCATTGTCCAGCCCACACGTGAGGGGGAGTGTTAAAGTATAAAACTATTGTTGGACCACATCCTAATAGCTTAAGCTTTTAGGATGGATTGGTAAACTAACAGAGCTTTTAACTGTAAAAATTTAAAACTGAAAACTCAAATCGGTAAAATGATATCTCAGAATATTACTAATCATTCAATATAAAGTTTAGCTTTGATTAATGTAATACTAGAGGAATTAACTATAATCCTTTTACATCAAGAACACGGAATTAATTGTTAAATTGAGGGTGACAATCGCCCTCATACTGAAAGCTGAGACAGAAAAAAAGACCTATTTTGCATGTAATCATAATCTTTTTCTTAAGAAAAACAACTTTATATTGAATTAAAAAGGTTTATCTAGTCGTAAGCAAAACGATCGTCAAAGGAGTTTTTATAACTTGCTGCGGTAGCAGAGGATGCTTCGATTCTTTCAAATAGTGTTTTGGATCGTCATCGAAGCGGTACAAAGCCTTTGTTATTTTACACGAGTTAAATTAAGACAAATTAAAAATTGTTCAAAAATAATAAATAAAAATGAAAAATGATGATTAAGGAGATTTTTATTTTATATATTTATTTTTAATTTTAAATTATAATTTATAATTTTTTATAATATTTTTTTTTATAAAAAATACACGTAAAAAAAGAATAATTTTAAATTATAATTCTGAATACATGAACTAAACTTAAGTATCTTTACAAAATTCAGGTCGTAAGTTAGATCATCACGAAGTTTGTTCTTGCACCTGACCTGGATATTATTTGAGAGGGGCGGAATCTATTCTTAAAGGTAGTGCTTACTGCCTAGCATGCCTCGACCTTCACCCCAAACCTTCTGTTCCCATTAAGCTATTAGTAATTTAAAAACCATGTCGTGTTTGAGAAATCACAAAAATATACATTGCATATCATATAATGTTAACCTATTCTTCTCTGCATAATAATCTGACAAAAACTCAGTGAACCTATATATTTTAATAGGATGTTTTTTATTTTTATTTTTTTAAAAGCAAACCTCAAAAGGTTTTGCCAAACATAAATTCATTTGAATATTTTGGTTCAAAACGCATGAGCTTATTTATCAAACGGCCTAGTATATTTGAATATCGAATGTAAAATATCAAAATTTGAAGATCAAATTTCGTTTTAAAATTAAAACAAGGGGAAAAAAACCCTTCAATCAAATCATCAAAATTCGTTAAAAAAAAGTCCTTTAAAAAAAAAGGGTTTGTCTCCTTTAGGATCCCCGTATGAGTAGAGTTTTTTACTGTTGGACATGTATTAGCTCATATCAAAAAAAATTTGTAGAGCAAAAGGGTTGAAAATGGAGATTTCTTCTCGGCCCTACTAGAGATGCAATAATAGGTCAGGGCTTGTGGGCCGGCCCAGGCCTATCATGATACAGTGACGGGCTGGGCCGACACGGCCTGTCACTGTTCAAGGCACGGTCCAGCCTATAAATATTGGTGAGTTGGGCTGGGCCAACATATATCGGCCCATGAAAAATCACAACCAGACCGGGTTGGTTTGTTAATTGAAAATATGTAGGGTAATAAGGACTCAAAGGACAAAGCGTTGTTGGTCACCGGATTACTATGTATTCAAGAATGCAAAGACAAATGTATGAGTTCCATTTTTCCAGCATATATACACACATATGTATATATAGATGAGTCTTTTTTAAAAAGAAAGGACAAACAAGTAAGTCCCTTGCAATTTGTTTCTCAGCAAATATCTATGGAATACATATTTGTAGAAGAGAGAAAAAAAAAAAAGGCTAGTAAGTTGCATCCATGTACTTATCGATCCGGCAGTTTTATTTTTTATTTAATGAATTAACGTCATTTCAGGCTTTGAATATACAACAATGCCGATATATATATATATATATATATATATATAGAGAAAAAAAAAAAAAGGCTAGTAAGTTGCATCCATGTACTTATCGATCCGGCAGTTTTATTTTTTATTTAATGAATTAACGTCATTTCAGGCTTTGAATATACAACAATGCCGATATATATATATATATATATATATATCTACACACACACACATATTTGCAGGTGAATAAATAATAATCAGAAACCACGTGTTCGAACTTTATGAGATATTTTGTTGCTGAATAATTAAGAATGTCATAATAGTGATTGAGACGTTTTAATTAACTTGAATATTCTATGCTAATCTTATCGAATTATACCAGCTGAATAATTAGATATGTGATTAATAAACTGTACTCTAGAGGGAACATTTCCAAACTTTATGAGCAATGACAGATATAAGAAATCCAAAAAAATGAAGATATTTAATTACTAAAGAAATAAATACGTGACGAAATTTTGAAAATGAAAAGATCCTTAGAGATTTCACTTGGAAAAAATAATGTACTTCTTGGTTATTATTTACATATATATAATTGCGGACCTTCCTAAAAAATATAATTGCAGACGGTTAGAGATGAGTCATCTTTCATTCATCACATGTACAATGTTCACTATATATATATATATATACAAAGAACAAGTACAAGACTATAGTATAGTTGGAATGATCTCATATGAAAATTAGGGAGCGGTTGATATTTTTATTTATTTAAGACGAATTAGTATCTGAAAAAGTAGCCGTCCACTGAAGTTAAAGAAATTGTATATCATTTTTTTTTTGCAAGATTGACTTTATTTTTGAGGTGGTTCTGTAACCAATTTTTCGACCCATCAATGAAGCACTACTCTTTCTTTAATCTTTTCATGGTTTCCATGGTTTGCACATCCTTTATTTGAAACTGAAATAGAAAACACATTATAATATGTGCGAGGGAGTTTTGCTTACAACAACTGCCGTTCTCAACAAAGGCTGGAACTAACGTCATGGGAAGTTGAAGAACAAGTTTAGCCCTGTTTGTTTTACTAATTTAGTTCAGTTTGAACAATAAGTATAATTTAAACTTGTATTTAGTAAGTATACAATTTAAATTATATTTTTCATTTAAACTGAGTTAAACGGCCCAACTTAAAGTTTAGCTCACCCCTCAAGTTCAACCGTTCAAACCATTTTTTAACAGTAAAAAGTGCTCATTATCTGCTTTTCCCACTTATCAAATACAAATTCAAATTTTATTTCCTGTTCAAATTAAATCTTTAACTACATATCTAATCGTCAATTCAAACTACAATTTAAACTACACAGTTTAAATTTTTTTGTTCAAATTAAAAAATTTAAACTAATAAAATTTAAACCAGCGAATCAAACGAGGCTTAATAAGCATTCCCAACTACAGTATACAAAAATAATACGGGAAAGTTACTACTTTTTCCTTCTTTTTTTTTTTTTTTTTTTTCTG